TATACTACTGATTTACTGGTGGTCATGAAAACAATACTTAATTGGAAAAATAAAGTGATATTTGCTGTGACAATTGATTGCATTAATTATTTCTCATTTATAAGCAAGGTTTTGTGACTGTCAGTAAATCACGTGTATAAGATGTCTTTCTAATTAATCGTATCATCAGCAACAGCAGCATCTGTGGTAGTTGTTTGTAGTAATATATGCGGTTTTTGTTGCATTGGCCTTTGCAATAAATAAGTAATATCATCGCCATAGTTGGAATTAACAGAATAATCATGAAAACGATTGAGGAGTTGACAAAGAACGGTTTTCAAGGAGAACCTTTTTTGACATGCTCACTCTCCAGTTGAGGCTGGTAGCAACGGTTGTCTTGATGTGATGACTAAATGCTTTATGAGAATAATTGTATTGCAGAGGTAAAAAGAGAAGCAATTTGGCTCAATGAATAGACTCGAGGCGAGGAATGATCAAGTGGCGACGGTACTATTCTTTTTGGAGATAATTCCACTCGCCGTCACGTACATGCATGCGCATGCAGACACACGTCTGAGCAAGAATACAGACAGACAGCGTAAGAAACCAATCAGGTCTTTCAATATCAACGACCAATAACCAACAACCAACAAACGCAACCGGCAATCGGTGTTGCCTACCTGAGATGGACAGTCGAACCGGATGTTGTCAAAGTCCCTGCGCAGCTCCGGTTGTACATTCTGAAATGAGTAAAATGAACATGTTATTCACTTTCACTGATGACATCACTGCCAACATTCACCTCCAAGCAACTGGATAGAAGTGGGCAAAAACAAATAATGTCTAGTTGGTGAGTCCCAATAGCGGTTCGTCTGGGCTCGGAACCGGCCGGAGACTAAGTGTCATCGAGGGGATGAGTGGAACGCCCTTAGCAACTGAGGAGGGACTCGAACCGAGGGCTTGTCATCGAGTTGCGAAGAGAGTTGTCCTGGCCTTGACAGCGAGAAAACCGACTATGAGGAAAAATAATGTCTATCCTGTTTGACTGTGTTCGGTGAAAAAGGCTTCCACAATTACCAGTTTTCTGAAATCACAGAGTCTAATTATGCTACTAATCAGGCGAAGAGTAATATATTGCTTAGCTGAGAAAGGGACCCCAGGAAATGAGGCAAGTTGATAAAGGGCTGGCCTGTCTTAATGCTCCTCAGTTGTCGTGCCGCTTAACCCACCCACAGATTCTTGGTTCGAGTCCCGCCGGAAGTGACCGCGATTCTCGTTCGTTACGATGGTTGCCATCGCTGCCAGTGCCTGCAGAAGCAGACAAATAATCTGTCTCCGCTGGGCACCCACCTTCGCCTACCCTCCTAACCGGGTTTCGGGTCTCGAGCTGTAGACCTTCACGGACTCGTGGATGGACGGAACTCGAGTTGCCCGGCGGGCAGGGACCCTGAAGTGCGTCAGTCTGATTGGCTCACCTCGTCGTCCAAATCGTACAAAGGCTGCACGAACTGAAGGAGCAGCTTCTTCAAGAGCCGGCGCACGTTGTTCAGGTAGACCACCTGCCTCGTACACGTTGCAGAAGGACTCGACGTCGAACCTGGCCGAATGAAGATGAATTGCAACAATTGTATACATTATCATTATCATTATCATTACAAGCCTCAAAGTCACAATAAGCAGTAGTATTAGCAGTCACAGTATCACCAGTATGATAGTTATTATTATTATTATTATTATTATTATTATTATTATTATTATTATTATTATTATTATTATTATTA